AGGAAAAAAATCTGGAATGTTTGCTTTAAATTGATGTCTGTAGCTCAACCTCTGATCTCTAGAGGGCAGTCTAAGAATGTTTGTACCGGGTGCACGGGCTAAGCGTCAAGTTTTCAGTCTCTAGTAACTGGTTAAGAGTAAAGGAATTTTTTCTATTAGTGTCCTTCACTTTGATATACAAGACCATAATGTTCATACTTTCGTTAAACTGTCATTTTTTTTGTTAAAGTGCGTATTTGTTTTTTGGTTTTTCAAGATAGGGTTTCTCTGTGTAACAGCCTTGACTGTCCCTGAACTCACTCTGTAGACCAGGCTGGCCTCAAACTCACAGAGATCCTTCTGCCTCTGCCTCCGAGAGCTGGGATTAAAGGCGTGCGCTACCACGCCTGCACCCACCCCCCAATACACACTGAAAAATTTAAAAGATGGTTTTAAGGATTGGGAATAGTGGTGCACACTTTTAAGCCCATCACTCAAGAATTCTGGGCCAGCCTGGTCTACAAAATCAGTTCCACGCTAGCAAAGAGCACAGAAAAACCTTGTCTCAAAATAAATAAAAGACGGATTTTCAGTGCTGTTGGTTTCGCACTTCAGAAATTCACTATGGGAGCCTTCGAGTCACCATTTTAAGGCGTCATTTCTTCTGTTATTCTTGGCCCTAAAACAAGCAGGGCTCAACAGTTGCAACGCTAAACAACTGCAGAGGCGAGGGACATACCCACAGACCTGGAGGCCTCCCGGGGAAACTAGCTTTGGTCCCCATCGTCTCGGTCGCCTTCGGGACCTTCATCACCTTCATCAGTGAGGTCTCTCATTGCCCTGCGTAGCTGCGGTCGGCTCTGGTCATCTGTGTGTTCACTGCCCTAGGAGGGAGAGGCCTACACCAACCAGGAGCCGGCGGCGCACCGCCCCCCCCTCCCCGCCCCGCCCCGTAACCGGCGACCCCGTGACAGCTGCCAATCCTTCTCAGGAGCAGCCGCGAAGCTAGGGGCCAATGGCTGCGGCGCGGGCGAGGGGCGTGAGGACGCCTGCACAACCGTGCACGTCACGGCCAGGCCCCGCCCCGCCCCGCCCAGCCGCGCGGGGAGCTCTTGCCCCGCATGGGGCGGGTGAAATTGTTCCGCTGCGGACACCGAGCCAGGTAAGGGGACCCTGCCACCGGGAGAGACAGGAGGGAGAGCAACGGTGGGACCAAGACGGTCAGTGAAGCTCCTAATCTTAGGAGTAGCAAAAGGACCAGTACCTCCTTTTATGTTGTCTGGGTGCTCCTGGGGTCGCAGGGCTACCTTCCAGGTCGAATTCTGGACAGACACACCCTCCCACTTAAAGTATTCCGGAAAGTAAGGAGCTTACACCAAAGAGTGGCATTTCAGTATTTAGCAGGCCACCGCTCCCAAGCCTCGGACCGAGCTGGTAAAATCGGGTTGCAGAAAGAGTACAGGTCCCCAGGACCCAGACATGAAGAGCAGTAGAATTCGCTTCTATTGCCATCTTCCTGACTTCCCCATCCGTAACAACCCCACCCCTAGCATCCCAGCAATCCACAGCTTCCTACCCCTCTCCTCTTTGACCCTCCTGGGTCAGAGAGGCACTGGGCTGTGAAGAAGACACTGTTGCCGGACAGAGAGCAGAAAAATTAACTTCCTCCTCTAGCCCATCCCCTGACACCCTAGCCATTGGCTTCTCTCAGTTCGTTGCGGACACTACCAGGTTAGGGTGGAGATGCTGCATTGGGGTTCAGTTCCTAGACGGGGTATTTATTTTAGAGGGGGTGGAGGGAGAGAACTGCGAATGAATGTTATTACTTGTTTACTCTTCATATCAGGTCCTCTGGGTAGAGATGATACAAGTTCAGAGAGGCCTGCTGTGTAGCCCGGGGAGCCAGTTAACAAGGCCTGGTTGTATAACCCCAAGGCAGTTTGCTTCAAAGAGTTGAACTCCTTCACCCCTTAGGTTCCTGCTGCCTCTCATCTCTGTTTTCATCAGCCACACTTTAGAATAATCACAACCTGGGGGCTAGAAGTACAGAAGCTCAGTGGTAGGGCACTTGTCTAACTAACATTCTCAAGGCCTTGGGTTCAATACCCAGTATCATTTCCTTTTTTTTTTTAATAATTGGCAAACTTTCATCTGTCCTTAGGTGCATTGGCCTGGGGCATTGTTCTAGAAACCGGTGTACTTTCCCCACCCCATTCCACCCCCACTAGCCCTGAAGTGCTCCAAGTTTACTCCCAGAACCCACTGGGACCCCGGATTCTCGGGTCTCCCAAATGTCCCCTCACAGGGATTTTCTTGTTTTGAAACCCAGAATCTTCTTCCTATAGGTCTGCCACGATGCTGCTGCGGCTGTGCAGAACGGTGGTGGTGGGATTTCCGCGGGCTGTCAGGTAGGCTGTCCCAGCCCAGCACTATCACCCAACCTATCTTTTAGTTACCTTATCTGGTAGATATTTATCTTATCTGGAAGATAAGGCAGTACAGAGATGACCCTGAAGGAACCAGAAAGCCGTGATTCACTGGTCCTACCCATCCGGAAGAAACTAAACCCCAACTGAAAACCAGTGACTAAGGAGGGAGAGGCAGCCGCAGACTTTCACTGGTTTTCACTGGACTTTCCTGAGGCTAAAGATCTCTTTCTTCCAGAGTCAAGCCAACCCCCTCGAGGCTCTGCATCCCAGCGTGCTCCACGAATGATTCATTTAAACCGCAGCACCCCAGCCTCACCTGTCCTGATGAGAACTCGCAAACACGGGGATGGAAAGTGGTGGGGGCCCTGCTAGGTCTGGGTGCAGCGCTGGCCTACCATGACCATCGTTGCAGGGTAAGCGGGAAAGGGGCTCTGACTTCGTACACTGCAGAGATACTATCTGCTCCCTCCATTTCCCGGGCTCAGGTGTGGAGGGGGTCAGAATGGCCTAGAGTGATTTCACGTCTCTTCCTTTTGCCTTCTCCCACCCCTGTCTGTAGGCTGCTCAGGAATCACCCCGGGTGTATACCAGAGAGGAAGTGAGGTCCCACAACAGCCTTGAAACTGGAGTCTGGGTCACTCTAGGCTCTGAGGTCTTTGATGTCACAAAATTTGTGGACCTGCATCCAGGAGGCCCGTCCAAACTGATGCTAGCAGCTGGAGGTCCCATAGAACCTTTCTGGGCCCTCTATGCGTCTCACAACCAGCCCCATGTACGGGAGTTACTGGCTGAGTATAAGATTGGGGAACTGAACCCTGAAGATAATGTTTCCCCCACCTTGGAGGCCTCTGACCCTTATGCCGATGATCCTAGCCGTCATCCAGCCCTGAGGATTAATAGCCAGCGCCCCTTTAATGCAGAGCCTCCCCCTGAACTGCTAACAGAAAACTACATCACACCAAACCCTATTTTCTTCACGCGGAACCACCTGCCTGTACCTAATGTGGACCCAGACACCTATCGCTTGCATATAGTAGGGGCTCCTGGAGGTCAGTCGCTGTCCCTGTCCTTGGATGATTTGTATAAGTTTCCCAAACATGAGGTCACTGTCACTATGCAGTGTGCTGGCAACCGGCGCGCGGAGATGAATAAGGTTAAGGCGGTGAAGGGTCTGGAGTGGCGGACAGGAGCCATCAGCACCGCACGCTGGGCTGGGGCACGACTCTGTGATGTGTTAGCCCAGGCTGGCCACCGACCCCGTGAGACTGAGGCCCACGTCTGTTTTGAGGGACTGGACTCAGACCCCACTGGGACTGCCTATGGAGCCTCTATCCCTCTGGCTCGGGCCTTGGATCCTGAAGCCGAGGTCCTCCTGGCGTATGAAATGAACGGTCAGCCTCTGCCTCGTGACCATGGTTTCCCTGTGCGGGTGGTGGTTCCCGGTGTGGTAGGTGCCCGCCAGGTCAAATGGCTCGGCAGGGTAAGTGTGGAGTCGGAGGAGAGCCACAGCCACTGGCAGCGGCGGGATTACAAAGGCTTCTCCCCATCCGTGGACTGGGACACGGTAGACTTCGATCAAGCTCCAGCGATCCAGGAGCTGCCTGTCCAGTCAGCTATCACAGAACCTCAAGACGGGGCAACTGTAGAATCGGGAGAGGTGACTATCAAGGGTTACGCGTGGAGCGGCGGCGGCAGGGCCGTGATTCGGGTGGATGTGTCTATAGATGGTGGACTAACCTGGCAGGAAGCCCAGCTAGAGGGAGAGAAGCAGTGTCCCCGGAAGGCCTGGGCTTGGCGAATATGGCATTTGACAGCTCAGGTGCCGGCAGAGCAGAAGGAATTGGAGGTTGTTTGTAAAGCTGTGGATGACAGTTACAACGTGCAGCCAGACACTGTGGCCCCCATCTGGAACCTGAGAGGCGTCCTCAGCAATGCCTGGCACCGTGTCCGTGTCCGTGTCGTCCCATGAAAGCATCGAGCAGAGCCACCTGTACCCAGAGAACCACCTAAACTTCTTTCTAACCCATCTTTAATCGTCGTCATAGAAAAACATTTCCTTCCGCCTCTTGGGTCACAACCCTGTGTTTGCTGTGTCTTAAGCTGTGCCCAAGCACACGCGCTCCTGGCCTCTGACCCTGTGCCAGGAGAGAGAGCTGTTGGAGACTCTGGAGGTAACAGCAGTTCTGAAGACATGTTTTCTCACCCAACGGCACCTTGGCTTCTGAGGCCTCCCCAGCCAAGTGTGTGGGAATGTGGAACAAGCGCACTTTCCTATCTTCTGCTGCCTGTGGGATGCCAGGGGTTCCCCCTTAGGGCTCTACTTTGAGAAAATACACCAATAAAGTGCCTGTTTAAGATTATGCCTGGGACCTCTTGAGTGCAGTCTCTGGAAATGAAGGAGCGGGTCTCAACCTAGCTGGTTGACCTGGCGATACCTCCGAAGAGAGGTGCGATTGTTTTCAAATGTTTGGTACCCTCAAACCGTTTCGAAGGTTCCTGCTCTCCCAGCAGGATTGACAAATAATGCCAAGAGGTTGAAATCAATATTATCTTGGGGAGGGCAGGGGCAAACCTTGGAACGAGGAGCGGACGTGCCGGGGCACATGGGGCTCCCGTGTGCACCTAGTTTGCAAATTAGATGCAGATGAAGAGATAGCTTTGGCTTAACCTCTGCACGGCAGGGCCTTTTGGACTTAAATCTTTCGGCGCTCGGCTATTCTCCCCTAGCTCCTCTCCCTTTTTTTTCCCTCAGCAGTCTCCCTGGCTTGGGGGCGCTCGGTGTTTGGCCCAGTCGCCTGTCGCCTGGTAGTGGGACCGGAAGTTATTCCGGAGGGGGGGAATGGCCGTAAGAAAGGGGGCTCTGTGGGGGGGCCGGTCCCTCCTCAGGTGAAGCCCCTGATGGAGATGGAGCCGCCACCCCTGAGCGCCCAGATCCCGGCTTCGGCCTGGCTGCCGCCGCCTCAGTGACCCCATCCCCCCCGCGCTGGGCCACCTGGGCCAGAGTGGGGGACTCGCCACCCCTCTTCCCACCCGACACCGCCCTTCTCCCCCAACCCCCAACAGCCTGCGCGCGCGCGGAGACGCCTCAGGTGAGTGAGGGGCGGGGCCCGCGAGGGGCGGGGGCGGGGCCTGGCCTTCGGGGCGGGGCTTTAGCTTGGAGTCGAGGGGGGAGTCGCAGCCTGGGGGAGGGGCGGGCTGGGTTCTGAGGGGATGGAACAGAGGGACCAGAGGGACAAAACAAAGCGACCGAGAACCAGAAAAAGCAAGGTGCCCGGGGGCTTCATTGAGAATGTTGGAGGAAAAGGCCAAGGCCTGCCTAGGACTATCTCCTGGAGGCCGTGACAGGGGGAGAAACAACAGAATGGAGCCTGTCTGTCCTACTGTTTGGGTGAGAAGCATAGGGAACCTGAGAAACAAGGCTGGGAAGGAAAAAAAATCCACAGACGAAGCCCTATGGTATGGCTTCCCAACCTCTGGATGGGAGCTACATAAACGGGTGGCAAAATGCCTCTTTCTAAATATTAAAACCATCCTCATACAGATCTATCTCGGCTTTTTACCCTTTATCTGCTAGAGTTGTTTAGTGGTTTGCTAGGTTGGTTGGTTGGTTGGTTGGTGAAGTAGCGTGTCTGTGTGTGTCTCTGTGTGTGTGTGTGTGTGTGTACAACTGTGTGCCAGCGCCAGGACAACTTTGAAGCTAGTTCTCTCTTCCCATCTTTATGTGAGTTCCAGGGATTGAAGTGATGTCTCCAGGCTCTCAAGGCAAGTGAACTGTGGTTGATTTTTTGAGACAGGGTCTCATGTAACCCGGGCTGGGCCTGAAGCATGAAACTCATGATGGCCTCTAACCCCGGAACTTGTGGTGATTCCCCTACCTTGGCTTCTGAATGCTACAGCTGCAGCTGTGATGTTTTTCTGTGGGGTTTTGTTTATTTGGTTGGTTAATCGGCTGGTTGGGGCTTTGGCTGGTTGATTTGTTTGAGACAGTCTCACTATATAGCCCTCACTGTCCGGAAACTCATGCTGTAGACCAGGCGAGCCTTAAACTCACAGAGATCCATTCATCTGCCTCTGCCTCCTGATTGCAGGAATTAAAGGCAAGTGCCACCATGCTCAGCTGTTGGGTTTTAGGCCAGGATCTCATATTTTCTAAGAAGGCTTCATTTTTGCTATAGCTAAGGATGGTTTTGAACTTCTGAGCCTTATGCCTCCATTTCCCAAGTGTTGGGATTACAGGCCCTCAGCATGTGAGTCTTGCTATTTGTCTTATTTAAATCATGACTAGTAGCCCTTTCGTGGGATAAGTGGAACACTCAATGGAATGTGGACTTTTTTTACGGGGGGAGTATTATTCTTTTAAAAGGCGGGTGAGGTGTGTAGACGAACACAGGATAGACGAGACACGCGGCTCCCACGTGGGTGCACTTTAATGGGGGGGAGGGGGACACGATAAGGGATGGGTGTATGAGACACACAAGGGTAAAAAGGGCCAGAGAGAGCGAGACCTCGTGGAAGCTCGCTTTTTAATGGGAAGCGCAAGGTTATCTGGGAGAAACGACCTGCACCTGTGCACGCCCGAGTGCGCAGGTATTCGTATCCAGGAGGAGTCTGGGAGCTGTAGTTTCCAAAGGAACAACAGGGAGGGGGCTCGAGACAGGGTTTCTCTGTTGCTTTGGTTCCTGTCCTGGAACTAGCTCTGTAGACCAGGCTGGCCTCGAACTCACAGAAATCCGCCTGCCTCTGCCTCCCTAGCGCTGGGATTAAAGGCGTGTGTCACCACCGCCCCACGGAATGTGGACTTTTTGATAAGAAATAAGGTACCCCACCTGCTCATCCGAGCTTGAGAATCTTCCAAGTGCTTCTAGGAAGGTTTGGAGGATCGCCAACTAGTGCCTGCAAAGTTTTGCCCCCCTTCTCTCGGCACACGCGTTTTTCTCAGGAGTGGTAGGGACTGAGACACGGCTCTGCACTGTTGCACACAGCAGCCCGAACAGTTCTTTAATCTCCGGGAAGCTTAAATTCTGGTAAAAAAAAAAAAAAAAAAAAAAAAAAAGAAAGAAAACCTTTTTTTGGTTTCAAGACAGAATTTCCAGATGAGCCAGTATGAAGAGAATTAATGACTGGCAACCAAACTTTTTTCTTTGCTTGATTTTTGGTGTTTTAGCTTTTTTTGAAAACAGGGTTTCTCTGTGTAGCCCTGGCTATCCTGGTGGCTGCTTTGTAGACCAGGCTGGCCTCGAACTCAGATCTGCTGCCTCTGCCTCCCAAGTGCTGGGATTAAAGGTGTGCACCACCACCCGGCTGCTATTACCAAGCTTTCATGACCTAGCTCGAGTTCAATCCCCGGGACTCACAGGGTAGAAGGTAGAGCCAACCCTGAAAGTTGTCCTCTAATCTCCAGATCCATGCTGTGATACACACATGTGCTGTGACCCACACACATGCTGTGATATAGACATGTGCTCTGACACACACATGCTGTGATACACACGTGCTGTTATATACACGTGCTTTGACACACACACATGCTCTGATACACACACACACCTGTTTGCCCTGTGTTTGCCCTGTAAGCCCAAGGACCTGAGTTTGAATCTCCAGCATCCGTGTAAACACCAAAGTCACAACACACCTCTGTAATCTCATTGTGCGGGCGGGGCACAGACCAGAGACAGGTGGATTCGTGGGTTTATTAGCCAGCCAGCCTAACCTCCAGGTTCAGTGAGAGACTCTGTCCCAAAAAATAGGGTGGAAGCTGGAGAGATGGCTCCGCGGTTGAGCGCACCTGCTGCTCTTCTAGAAACATAGGCTCAATTCTTAGCACCCACGTGGTGGCTGGTAACAGGTTGTAATTCCAGTTCCGGGAGTACTGATGCTCTCTCCAGGCCTTTTCAGGCAGTAGGCATGTACTTGGTGTACCGACATCCATCAGGAAAACACCCTGCCTTAGTCACTGTTCTACCGCTGTGAAAAGACGCCATGGCCAAGGCAACTTCTGCAAGAGAAAAGCACCTAACTAGGGTCTTCACTGGGTTTCTGAGGTTTAGTCTACTATCGTGGCGGGAAGCATAGCGGCATGCGGGCAAACCCTGGAGCAGCAGCTGAGAACTGCATCCAAATCCACAGGCAGAAAGAGAAAAACTGGGTTTGGCATGGGCTTTCGAAATCTCAAAGCCCAGCTGGGCAGTGGTGGTGCACGCCTTTAATCCCAGCACTCGGGAAGCAGAGGCAGGCGGATCTCTGGGAGTTCAAGGCCTGGTTTACAAAGTTCCAGGACAGCCAGGACTGTTTCACAGACAAACCATGTCACAAACAAACAAAGAATAGGAAGAGGATGGGCGCCTCAAACCAAAATTGTCCTAGGAGAAACTGAGTTTTCCAGAAGAAGCAGGGGAGGCCTCTCTGGAGCTTCTGCAGTGAACTCATAGGGTGATCAGAGCTGCCTTTGTGCGAGCAGCTTCAGAACTTCATCTTGCCCCTGTCAATAGAAATTGGTGCCACAAACACGCTGATGTCTGAGGGCAGTGAGTTCAAACGCAGCTTCTAAGCAACCCCCTTCATCTCAGAAAATTAAGAGTAATGCATATTTCAAGACGTGACCTTTTTTCCAAACTCATCACTTTTGAAGCCAAAGATTATCTCTTTCAGGTATTTGAAATTATGTAGAAGTCTGGACTAGGGTAGGGTGGCAGGAAATTGGGGGATACAGAAAATACTGTCTTCGGTGGCAATACCAGACAGAAATCCCTGATACATGCTGGTCCAAAGAGTCCACTGTTGTTGTGTTTGCAACTGAATTTTTCTTCTTATTTCCTCTTAGTTTGAAATCTGTGAACTTATACTTTCTTTTCAGCATGGGAGAAACTTACCCCATGTTTCCCCGCCCCCCATGTCCCACCCACAATCCACAAAAGAATTCTTCTCTCTCAAAGTGTCATACAGTTTATCTGCCTTACTTCCACTCCCTCTTTACATACAGTGTGTGGGTGTGCACATCCATGCTGCTCGCTAAGGACGCTAACGAAGGATTAGCCTTGTTGGCAGGTGCATCTAGCCTCGATTCATTCATTTTGCCTGTATAACAAATACGGTGTCAGAGGCTGGGGAGCCTCCCTTTCCCTATGGGTCTTATGCTTCTGCCGGCTGGAGACTCTGCTGGCTTTGAGTGCCAGGCTGTTGATTTGCCCCTTCTTCTCAGAAGCATCGTAGACTTTGTCCTGGAAACGGAGAGACAGGGTCAAAGTTTGCCAGACGAAAACATCTAAGAACGTGTGAGATGGACGTGAACCTGGTCCCTAGGAAAGACAGACCTTGTCGGTACTCGTCGGCACCCACCTTACGCTGGCTGGTGCTGATGTTAGCATAAGAAGATCCAGTGAGTACCGGTTTGTCATTGTTCTCGAGCCCACAGTTTCTGAAAAGACACAAGAAGACTAAGGGGGATTATTCTTTATAAATCTTGTGTTTCCAGTTCAAGGATTTAAGTCCCTGATCAGAGACCTAAAAACCGTCCACCGGCTAAGTGTGAGACTGAAGTTCCGCTCTCCAGTTGCCACAGAAACGCCAGCAGAGGCAGCTCACGCATAGTCCAGCACACGACACAGACGTGGGAACCCCAGGACAAATTGGCTCACACATTGGCTAAATTAGAGAGCTCTGAGTTTGACTGAGAGACCCTGACCCAGTACACATATGGGGGAGAAAGAAAGACACCCAACAACACTCTGGGCTCCATGCGCACGGTACTCACACGCATGCACCCGCAGGAATGTGAATGCGCATACATTCACACATACTGAGAAACAAAACAGAGCTCCCCAAGCTTTCCAGCTGGGACAAGATTAAACGCCACGGCAGAAACCTCTGCTCCATTTCTGCTACTTGTTAACCAGATAAGTGGCTTTGGGCTTGGTTTGGTCTCCAAAAGATTAGGGATCAACTTTCAGCTCTGTTCCCATCTCTAAGCTCTGGAGGCCTCTGCCTTGGGCCTGGTTCAGGAAGTAAAGAGGCTTACCAAAGTAGCTTACCCCAAGCAAGAATCTTCATTACCCAAGAAGCCTGGAAACGTCTTTTCTGGCCCAAGCTACAG